TATAAAAACAAAGGACGTGAATGATCTCTATAAGGAAAACTATAAACTTCTGAAGAAAGAGATTGAGGAAGACTATAGAAAGTGGAGAGATCTCCCATGCTCAAGGATTGGTAGAATCAACATAGTAAAAATGTCTATACTCCCAAAAGCAATCTACATGTTTAATGCAATTCCCATCAAAATCCCAATGACATTCATCAAAGATATTGAAAAATCAACCATTAAATTTATTTGGAAACACAAGAGACCATGAATAGCCAAGGCAATACTCAGTCAAAAGAACAATGCTGGAGGTATCACAATACCCGACTTCAAACTATATTACAAATAGCAATAAAACAGCATGGTTCTGGCACAAAAACAGACATGAAGACCAGTGGAACAGAATAGAGGACCCAGATATGAAGCCACACAACTATAACCAACTTATCTTTGACAAAGGTGCTAAAAATATACAACGGAGAAAAGACAACCTCTTCAACAAAAACTGCTGGGAAAACTGGTTAGCAGTCTGCAAAAAACTGAAACTAGATCCATGTATATCACCCTATACCAATATTAACTCAAAATGGATCAAGGATCTTAATATCAGACCCCAAACTCTAAAGTTGGTACAGGAAAGAGTAGGAAATACTCTGGAATTAATAGGTATAGGCAAGGACTTTCTCAATGGAACCCCAGCAGCCCAGCAACTAAGAGATAGCACAGATAAATGGGACTTCATAAAACTAAAAAGCTTCTGCTCAACAAAAGAAATGGTCTCTAGACTGAAGAGACCACCCACAGAGTGGGAGAAAATATTTGGCAGACAAAGGACTGATAACCAGAATATATAGGGAACTCAAAGAACTAAATTCTCCCAAACTTAATGAACCAATAAAGAAATGGGCAAGTGAACTAAACAGAACTTTCTCAAAAGAAGAAATTCAAATGGCCAAAAAACACATGAAAAAATGCTCACCATCCCTAGCAATAGAGGAAATGCAAATTAAAGCCACACTAAGATTCTACCTCACCCCTGTTAGAATAGCCATCATCAGCAACACCACCAACAACAGGTGTTGGCGAGGATGTGGGGGAAAAAGGAAACATTTTACACTGCTGGTGGGAATGTAAACTAGTACAACCACTCTGGAAAAAAATTTGGAGGCTTCTTAAAAATCTAAACATAGATCTACCATATGATCCAGCAATATCACTCTTGGGGATATACCCAAAAGAATGTGACTCAGGTTACTCCAGAGCCACCTGCACACCCATGTTTATTGCAGCCCTATTCACAATAGCCAAGTTATGGAAACAGCCAAGATGCCCCACCACTGACGAATGGATTAAGAAAATGTGGTATCTATACACAATGGAATTTTATGCAGCCATGAAGAAGAACAAAATCTTATCATTCGCAAGTAAATGGCTGGAACTAGAGAACATCATTCTGAGTGAGGTTAGCCAGGCTCAGAAGACCAAAAATCGTATGTTCTCCCTCATATGCGGACAGTTACCTTAAAAGTAACTGAGGCCAATAGGAGAAGGGGACCAGGAACTAGAGAAAAGGTTAGTTTGAGAAGAATTAACTCAGAAGGTAACACACATGCACAGGAAATCAATGCAAGTCAACTCCCTGTAGTAGTCTCCTTACCCTCAAACTAATAAAAAACCTTGGTCCGTTCCTATTATTGCTTTTATACTCTCTCCTTCAACAAAAATTAGAGATAAGGGCCAAGAAATAAGTTTCTGCCTGGTAGCGATGGGGGTGCGCCAGGGACGGGAGGGGAGGGGTCAGTCGGGAGGGGGCAGAAGTAAGGGTGGAGAAATGACCCAAACATTGTATGCACATATGAATAAAAGAAAAAAAAATTCTCTAGAGCTCATCTGCTCTATTTCCTACAGTAGGAGACATGTTTTCTCTTCTTTCTATTGGGTTTTGAACTATTCTAGACAACAGTAGTTCCCAATCCTCGCTGAAAGTTAGCATTGCCTGTGGAGCTCTTAATAACAATAGAATCATCAGATGTCCTCTTGCGGATGATTCAGGAAGTCTAGCACAGATCTAGAAATTATTATCTTAAAATACCACAGGTAATTCAGAAACAGAGCCCAATTTAGCACAGTAGGGCAGAGGCTCCTGGGGTGGTGAAGTAAGAAGGAGTCCCACAGGTAAGTTTGCAACATTTGCCATAATTCATGCAGCTCCACTTGAGATCTAGATAAGATTTCATTTGAAGAAAAAGATTTTTCTGCTTAAATAAAAAGTTTGAAGTCACTGTTCTTTTTGTTTAAAAATCAAAGTTTAAGGTAATACATATGAAAATCTATGACTATGTTCTATAATGCTCTTCATACAATATACAAAGGTTAAAATTTGCTACCTCTTAGAATATTTAGGATAATTTTGTTGTTGTTGTTTTGGTTTATTTTGGTGGTACTGGGGTTTTTACTCAGTGCTCATGCTTGCTAAAGCAGGCACTCTACCACTCGAGCCACTCCACTAGCTCAAGCTGGTGGAAGAATCTTTAGCGTATAAATTCAGTAGTGCAGTGAATAAATGTTATTGGGGTTTGTTGCTGTTGTTTGGTACTGGGGTTTGAATCCTGCAATATGTACATGCTAAGCTTATGCTGTTACCACTGAGCTACACCTTGGATCCCTATGCTTTTCTTTCCGTGTTATTTCTAATTCCTCAACATTACATAAATGTAATAAATCCCAGCATATGGAAACCCACACATTCAAGATAAATTAATAAAGGCATCATCCCTAGGACCTACAAAATGGCACATGACCTGTCCAGTTTTGGAACTCATCATCTACAACTCTTCCTAACTCCAGCCACACTGGTCTCCTGGCTATTCCTTAAACAGCCCACATACACTCATACTCAAGACTTTTTGAAGGGAAAGTTCTCCCTGGCTTAAATGCTCTTCCTATGTAGAATTGCAGGGCTCCTGCCCCTTTTCCTCTAGGTTTCTCTCTGCTTAAATGTTTTCACTGGCAGCCTCCCACTCCATCCAAGATAGCATCCTGTCCCATGTCGTTAAGTATTCCCTCACCTGCTTGTTTTGCTGCTATAGTACTTATTCTATGACACTGTGCATTTAAAAAATTTGTTTATTATCTCTACTCTTTGCCCAACCAGAATATAATCTCCAAAGAGCAGAGATGGGTCTGCCTGCCTCCTCTGCACAATCTCAAAACTGGAACAGTGGCTGGCACACTGGAGTGGTTAAAAAAAAAATGGATGAAAGAATTGATGTCTCTTTAATAAATGAATCAATCTTCCAAACACCAAGAGTATAGCTTTATGATAATCTAGTAATTAGAGGTTTACTTGTTTATAAAATGGAATAGTATTTGAATGTTTTTTTTTAAATGACAATATGGTTTTACCTATCATCACTCTAAAAGCCACTGTCTAGCTTTATATTATGTGAACATGGCTGACATCTATTTACAGAAATGTACATGGTTTCTCAGTGTCCCCTACCTTCCTCTTTTCCCTATGTGACAGCATCCATGAACATTTCTCCATAGATAAGTCCCATTTTCTGTATACGTTGCCCAGGGTCTCAAATGCATGTTGGTGTCTCCCTGCCAATGATATCTCCATTTGGATAACCTTTTGTAGCATGCATTTAAGTGAATTTTTCAGCTTCTTTACATAATCTGACTGCCTTCACTCATTACTCCATTTCTGTTGGTAAAGCTATCATTCTCTTAATATTCTGAGGTGGCAGATTCAACTATTTCTTTTGTTCCCAATATCAAATCTAATATTTGATATTTACAACTAATTTCTTTCAACCATCTCTCTGCTATTCCCACAATTGAAGATGGGCCTAGTTAGTTCTCATCCCACGCTCTGCTTATGTTTTTGCCACTTCTTTGTTTATTTTCCCTCCTTTCCATAAAATGCTATTTTATGAACCTTTACTAATATCCCCCTTTTGTAACTTTTCCATTTCCTTTTGCTATGTGGTTCAGTTCACATAGCAATATTCAGCATATTCAGATAGCATATTTACATAGCATATTCAGTTTGGCAGTTACTTTTTTTTTTTTTTTTTGAGACACAGCCTTGCTATGTAATGTGGTCCAGCTATGTGCATGCTGGAATTACAGACATGCACCACCATGTGCAGCAGCAATCACTTCTTTAGTTGTTTCACCTATGCCAATGTTACTTCCTCAGCTAGACTTCATGCCTGGTAGAGGCAGGATAAAGTATCACATTGTGACTAGGTTCCTAGCGCACTGCATTGTGGTTGACATGTAAAAAGCAGAAGTGAAGAAAATGATTTTATTTTCCTGAACACTTAACATGTGGATATAAAGCCTTTTTTTCTGAGTAGGAAATGAGGAAAACTTATTATCAGATACTAGAATTAACTTCATTTGATTTGACAAAATTTGTGCTTTCTGCTCACTTACATATTAGCATGTAAAAACTGAAACAAATGTGAAAAGTCATATGCATATAAACTCAAAATTCTTTATGAAGAAGTTACCAAGGATGGTTAACTACTACTGAGGTGGATGATAAGTGAGATGGGTTCTTTATACTATTCTTTCTACTTCTGTATGTCTGAAATCCTCAATCAAAAAATGTTAAAGGGAGGGGAAAAACCAGAAACCACTACAAAGAAGCCAGAAATACACATATTAGAAAAGATCTAATACACTGTATAGTTTATAGAAAAATGCAGCAATAATGGTATTAGGGTAAAGAGCAAACTTTAACACAGCATATTATGCAATATTCTCTATTTTCTTTATCTCACTCCTTTAATGGAAATCTACATACTATGTGAACCAGGCATAGTTTTTATCACTTCTACATTTATACAAATTTCCCAGTAAAAATGAAAATGGATTTGAAAGTATTAGTAGTTCTCCAATCTTTAATAATTCTATTAGCATATAAGGTGAGAAATAGATCATTTTAGAATTTAAATTCCCAACATCATAAAAATTACAAGAAAATAGCATGAACCCAAACTTACAGTCTTAACATCATTTTCATGATGAAAGATATACTCAAACAAAGCCTGCGAAGAAAAAAAATGCCAAAAATACATTTAGCTTCATTTTTAGAAAAACATTCTAATGTTATATCAAAACTCAAAGCTTGATTGAACCAAAAAACCAGGACACTCTAAATCACCTGGGATTTATAAGTAAAGGGTATAGCCATCATTTATTAAAATCATCTATTTTTTTAAATATTGCTATTTACAACTGATTTCAGTTTTTACAGACTATAAACTGGAAACTCAAAGAACTGAACTATTTTCCTCTGCATATTACATATACTATGTTATTAGAAACAAGTGAAAAGTTAATTTTATTTCTTAAAGACTAATGTTTAGATTGTCATAAAAACAGCTTCAGCCAATTTTTATACTCTCTAAATTTACAGTGATTATGATTTAGTTACAGCAATTTAGGCAGGGGAAATCTGGAAGTTCCTTCTGAAACAACACAGAATATAAGTACTGAGTAGATTTTTCTGCTGCATTTCTAAAGCTATTTGTCCTCTGGTTTCTTTAACGAGGGCTACCCAGCCTTACTGCACAATGAAATCACGTGGGGGCCCCAGAACAGACCAATTAAGTAAGAGTCTAGAAGGTCGGGGGATGGTGAGGCCTTGGCATTATATATTTTAAAACACCCCGCCCCCACAGCCATGGCAAAGAATCATTATTTTACTAGTTCACCCCACTCAGCTGAATAAATAAGCATTTGTTGAGTTACCTCTTGGTGATACTACCTTTGCCCATACACCACTATTTTACTCTTATAAGGAGGCTAATGCCTTACCCAGGGTTATTAACTCCAAGAAAATACTTGAAGGTAATCAATAAAAGAAAAAAGAAATCAAGACACCTTTCTTAAGAAACAAACAAACAAAAAACTAGCCAAGCATGGTGACTCAGGCCTATAATCCCAGCCCTTGGGAGGCTGAGGCACTGGATCCTGAGTTTAAGGCCAGCCTGGCTACATATGTACATACAAAGGCTACATACTGGAGACCCAATCTCAAAACAAAACAAAATGTCTATAACAATCCTACCATTTGTTCTGTAATAAAGAAAAAAAATAAGCTAAGAATACAACTGGTGTTGACACTGTAACACCTTCCTTTTTCTTTCTCTTTCTCATTTTCTTTCTTTCTCTTTTTTTTTGTCTTACACTTTTTCTCCCTCTGCCTCTAATTTTTCCTTTAATTTAAAGGATTATACTTTGAGTAATTGTAATTGCTAATGTACTTTTGCCACTGTCTGACTTGAGTAATCCTTATTGAGATGCCTCATTAATTGCTAGTAAAACATATACATTTTTATCATCCTTTTGACAGTCCAAAAATCATCCAAGGATAGAAAATTATTTTTCTGAGAATAGTTCAAGTTGAAAAATACACACACAAGATGATCTCCTCTACTTCCTTCTACAAAGATGACACCTGCTTTATTTGTTCTTTATCAGGGAAAAAGAATTCTCGTAATAGTGGTATATGCACTTTATTTCTGATTGACTTTACTTAATTTAAGACCAAGGGAATTTTTACATATCACAGGAACTGGTCACTTCCATTTCAATCAAAGCATGGCCTTTTCTTCACCAATTTGTACCCATTTCCTACAAGGTCACTATCATCATACTTCTATCATTACTTCATAACTCAAAGTCATTTAAGTACATACCTTTGCCAACTTAGGTTGCTGAGAATATTTTGTTAAATTCAGTCTGGATAAATTTATAAATGGTCCATCAGGACTTGTAAGCATGGATGCCTATAAGGGAAAAAGTGATAGAACAAGAAATCTAAAACTTTCTCTTGAACCTTAACTTCAATTTAATGTGCATGAAGACTATAAAGGCAAAATAAACTAAAGGAATCACTTTCAAAAATTTTCATATAGCCAGGCACAGTGGCTCACACCTGTGTAATTCCAACTGTTTGGGAGGTAGAAATTGGAAGGTTCACAGTTCAAGGCCAATCCAGGAAAAAAATGTTAGCAAGACCCCCATCTCAACAAAAAAGCCGGGTATGTGGTAGAATGCTCCTGTAATCCCAACTACATGGGAGGCATAAGTAGGTAGATGACGGTCTAGGCAGGCCCCAGCAAAAATGTACGATCCTATCTTAAAAATAACTAAATGGCAGAATGCCTGCCTAGCAAGAATGAGCTGTGAGTTCAAATTCCAGTACTGCCAAAAAAAAAAATCCCATATAATTTTCAACCGGGACAGTAGTGGAAAGTGATGTACTATGAAGTTACTTGGGTAATACAAGGATATAAGGAAGCTAACAGAACTCACCGTCCCCATCCTGATGAATCTTCCTGTTGAGCTGGTGACAGGGCGTGCTGTGTAGGCAGTTCTGGGCGTTTTGATGGCCTGTTCCATGGTGCCCGGCCTGCCACCCTGTGTGCTGGACCTAATGAAGCCTGTGATGGGTCTCCCAGACTGCGAGACTGGCCTGTGAAGACTGAACATTGTTAGGACACGAGCTAACCTCCTAGGTTTGCTCAACGTCTAGTGGCAGAGGTGTGAAACAGGTACACACCTGACAGCCTGACTAGGCCCTCCCGTCTGATTGGTTCCGGGGAGTTTCAAAGACGTTCCAGGGCCTATGGGATGAGATGGCAAATTCAACTGATATATTATATATTAATTTGTAAAAACTGCCAGCTAAATCTAACTTTCAGAATTGTGCTGGCCTAGTGAAGAAGACATTAATAGCAAGAAATATATTTTATGGAAATGTGTTTGAGACTAATACTCAATGAGTACTTATCATGTTACTTATGCTATCACATTTTGTCTTCACAGTAAGTTCAAAGGTGGGGAATAAGTGCTAACCCATTTAACAAAGGTTGACAGAAGTACGTACACAGGTCAACCCATTAGCAGAGCTTGGATTCAAAGTCAACACCAGCAGGTTCCAAAGTTTAAAACGATGGTTCTATACTCACAAATTATTTTTCATACAAACTTCTCCCAATAAAAGATAATTTGCCAACTATAGAAGATAACTTATAGATATTTTAGCTATAAAAGAACAAAATAATAGGGATAAAGGGCATTTTTAGTAAAGGGTAAAAATTTATAAGCTCTGAAGATAAACCAGAGTAGAAAGACATTTTTAACATGAAGAACATGTATTTTTTTTCTTGACTTCCATTTGAAGCTTCAAAAAATTATTAACTTCCAAAACATACAAATAATTGAGAACTATAGCAACTAACAAATTACCAGATCAGGTCATTTTTTCATACATATGAATGTAAACATAAATATAAAATGCTTCATGTATCTACTATTTGCTTATGCTTCTATGAAGTATATCCATGTACCTATGTTTCTCCTCCACATAGCCTTCCTCCTCCTGACAGCTGACAGCATTCCATTAGCTCAGTTGAAGAGCCATACTTACGTGGAACTTGGGCAATTGCATTTTCATCCAGAATCATCTCTGCAATTCCTTCCTGATCTATATCAAGTTCATCTACGTATACCATTTCAGTTAGTGCTCGTGCCTTTAAAATCCAAGCTGCCTAAAAGCAATGAATAAATAAAACATATATTAAAATAACATGAGGAATATTGTATAGTTTATAGAAGCTAACCATCTTTTATTATTATTATTATTTCACTTTCTATTAAACATATTTACTACTTAACATATTATGCTAATTTAAAGGGCTGATACAAGAATAAACAATGTATCAATTACCTAATAAATAAAAGTGTAGTAATTATCTGGTGTTCTTCTAACATTCCTTTTCATAAATTAAAAAAAGATCCTTAAAAGAAATTTTTTACTACCACAAAAATTACAAAATAAATGAATAAAGCTGTAACCACTGTTCTCTTTCTGCCTTCCTCCTTCAGGACCACAACCCAAATTCTTGAAGCTTCCCTGATACTCCAACTCAAACCTATCTTTCTTTGACAAATACTACAATTAATTGGGGATATGCTAAGCTCTCCCTTTTCCACAGTGCAAGCTTTTATACCTTGTTTACTTTTGAATTTTCCAAAATACACATGGGTTTTGTATATAATAGTTTTTCAAGAAATGCTGGTTGACTCAAGCTAAGGTTAATTTCTCTTGATTCCAAATAACTAATCAACACTGGCAACTTTGTGATCTAGTTAACAGAAAGCCTACCAGAGAGTAAGGGGGCAGGGTGGAAAAGGTAATTAGGGAATCTAACCTGGAAAATATCTTATCAGCTTTCATTCAGCTTGAAAAATTCAGTATAAAGGGGTACATGCTTAACTTTCTTGCAAAACACATGAAACAGGTCTTCTGGAATTTTTTACCTCTCTGCTTCAATACAGAGAGCGGTAAAGCTTGGCATCCTCTGGAGGATTTGAAAAGAGGCAACTCTTAAACCAACTGCATAGACTGGACTCTAGAACTAGAGAGAGTGGCAAAAGGGAAGTTGGGGGAGGAATAAGAGCTCAGTAAACTAGGGATCTGCTTGTTATGCAGGCCGAGGGAAGGCCAAGGGGCTGAGACGGGAACTGATGAGAGCTACAAAAGGTCCACAAAGTCCTTGTGGACTAGATTTACCAGGCACTTCGCAATTGGGTAGGCAATTAAACAGGAAACACAAGAAGATTAAAACGTGGATCCTGATTTTCCTGAACATATCACCCAGTGGATTAAATGACAAAGCAAAACAACGTATAATAAGTGACAAGTATGTGACACAGAAGACAGATTTTATAGAAATTGGCAAGTAAAGACTTTTGTGAACTGAAGCAATTGGAATGCATATACGAACATTTATAAAAGAAAATAAAATCATCATGCTTTCATATTAATGGAGATAAAAAGGCTGCCTTCACAGTATCAGATTCCTAAAGTGAAATTACATTTTGGTGGATCACAACCTTCATGAAGCCTTTCCCGGCCATCAGCTTTTTGGCTTGTATATTCCTGGTTGGGGTTTACCAAATTCTTATAAGATAACATAAAACAGTGTTTCACCTATCAAGTGTGAATTTAACAAAGAACAAATCTATTCATTAAAAAAATCAATTCCAATTGCTTTTTTAACTGTGGGAGCCACCAACATATACAAACAATTGATGGCTTCACTCATAAAAAGATCAGGAAAGATGCCCAATCTGTAGAGCTAGTCCCAGGGGTCAGGGAAGTCATCACTGGCTTGGACTAGTGGTTTAATTTTGCTTCAAAGATGGAAATAAGCAATCCTGATGGGTTTTAAATCTACAGAGTATATACTGCCCTGCATGAGCATCCTTGGCTCATCACTGGTGCACAGGAAGGACTGCGGGGCTTTCTGCTCAAACAGTAAAGCAGGACCTGGGCTTTGCTGGTTCTTTCCTGTATAACTACCATACACCACATCCTGGGAGTACAAAGATAAATAAATCACAGTTCTAGTTCAAGCACGAAAGAATTTCAGTGTGATGAGAAAATGTAACCACAAAAACAAAAACATAAAAAGATGTGTGTTAGGAGAAGAGCGAGGAAAGGCACCCAACTGCCTGGAGGAGGAATTAAGAGCATTAGAAAGAGTCTGGCCCTGTGGCCTTGCAAAGCAGTCAACAAGACAAAGAAAGGCAAGCTCCAGGCACATAGTGTGTTTGGAAACTCTTCAGGAGTTGCTAGGTTGAGCTGGGCACCAGTGGCTCATGCCTGTAATCCTAGGTGCTTGGGAAACTGAGATCAAGAGGTCCAAAGTTTGAGGCCAGCCTGGGCAAAGAACTGGCAAGATCCCATTTCCAAAATAACCAGGGCAAAATGAACTGGCTCAAGTGGTAGGTGTCTGCTTTGCAAGTATGAAGCACTGAGTTCAAACCTCAGTCCCACCAAAAAAAAAAAAAAGGCAGAGAGAGGCCAGATGACAGATCCTGTGTAAGTGTAGGGAGCTTTACCCTGATAATGCAGAGCTAACCCAAGCTTCAGAACTATGATTTGGAGTCCTACTTAAATCAATAAAATAATATTTTTTTGGAGGTACAGGGAACAGGGGTTTGAACTCAGGGCCTTGCTCTACCACTTTAGGCATACCCCCAGTCCTTTTTGCTTTCCTTATTTCTCAAATAGGGTCTCAAGTTTCTGCCTGGGCTGACCTAGACCACAATCCTATCTGTGCTCCTGCACAGCCAAGATGACAGGTGCTTGCCACCACACCCAGTAGCTGATTTAAGATTTTGTCTCCCAAATTTTTTTTGCCTGGGATGGCCTTGAACAGTGCTCCACCTGATCTCTGCCTCCCATGTAGCTAGTAAATCAACTTTTTAAACATTGCTTTTATAATTAGGTACTATTATATAGTCAGTTATTAATCATTCATGCACCTATTTTATTAATTATTTTCAGCTTCAGACTGTTATCTTATAGTCTAGTCCATCATGCTCATTGCACTCATCTCCCTATTAACCTCTTAAATATCAAGGAAAGGTAAACTTTTACACAAGGATAAGGAAAGTGAATCCACTCTTCTCTTCCCACCAAAATGAATTTAAAAATCTGCTTTTTCAAAAAGACAAATAGATTTATATTAGTTTCAATGTTTAAAATCTAATTCTTAAGAATGAATGATGCAAATTTTTAATAGTTGAAGATTTGTAGTAAAATCTACTCAAACCATTATTCAGTTTAAAATTTTATCAGAGTTTTAGAAAAATTAATCTTCCTAGTTTTTCTTCTGTCCTAACAAAAATGACCTTGAAAATCACATATCATTGCTTGATTAAACTCAGACCATATTCAAAGAACTACTCCTGGTAATATGAACGATTCTTGAGATTTTAATGAAAACAGCAGATGGGGCTTTGGCTTTAAAAAAATATTTTTTTATTTTGGACAGAATCCAAATATGTTTTATAGCCCTAAAATCCCCTGCCTATTAAAAAAAAAAGCAGCATAATAAAGCATACACAGTAATCTCAAATTGTCCCTTGAATCTGATAAAACATAAATTTGTTTTATCTGATGTTTAACTTATTAATAAATGGTAGGGACACGTGGTTTAAGACAGTTATTTATGTAAATGTATTTGAGTGTGTACTAGAAGTACTATGAAATAAAAAAAATAGATGCTTAGGAATGTTTTTAGGGAAAAGCATAGCTTCTGTGATCTAAATGAGTAACAATCACATCAATTATTTCCACTTAGATCTGTGAAACATAATTCCATCTTAATGACCTCAAGATTTACCTTACTGCCTTAACTTAGCAGTTAAGTCTCTAGACATTACTCTTGAGGTACATACCTGCCAGCTAACATTAGGAAAGTACTGACTCACTTTGTTCTACCTTTGTGAGGGTAATCCAATTTTAGTTATGAAAATAAACATATCAAGAGGTAAAATACTCAACTGGCTGAGCAAAACATTTTTAAATTATTCTGTTCCTCTTAGTATGGAAAACAAGGCCAGTCGTTTAAGACATGTATGAAACAATTTTGATAGATCATCAACATAAATCTACCAAAAGAATAGTTGGTCTGATTTGTACATTATAAAAATCAGTGCTAACATTTGACACTCTGCCTACATTATGGAAATGAAAATTTAGACATAAGATACTGGATTATTACTATAAAGCCTGTTAGGACTTGGATATGAAGTATCCTCCAAAAGGTTCATGTGTTGAAGGCGGTCACAGCTGGGGTGCCAATGAGAGCTGATTGGATCATGAGGGTGCTAACCTCCTCAATGGGTTAGTCCATCGATGAGTTCAGAGCTGAAGGTGGACTCTAGTTGGAGGAAGTAGGCCACTGGAAGCGTGACTTTGAAGGCTATAACTTGTCCCTGGACCATTATACTCTTTCTGCTTTCTAGCTGCTACAAGGTGAGCAGCTTTCCTCTACCATGCCCTTCTGCCATGTTTATACTTTGCCATACACTTGAAAGCAATGGAGCCAGTTGACCATGGACTGAATCCTCTGAAATCATGAGCCAAAATAAACCTTTCCTCCTTTGAGCTGTTTTTTTCTCAGATATTTTATCACAGCAATGAAAATTTGACTAACACAAACCTCATTTTTTTTTCAAGCTGTAAACATGTGCAAAAAGATGAAACCTAAAAATATGTGAATAATGAGGTCAGCAGAATCCAGCTAGCTTGCTTTCAGATTGTTATACACTGGACAATTAGTCCTACAGGAACAGAACAGGAAGGTCAATGCTAAACACTGGGCTTCATGAAGCCCCCGTGCTAGTCTGAAACCTTTAAATGACATTTACAGTTTCCAACCATACCTACAATGCAAATTTTTGATGTTTTAATTTTAATCAAAATCTTCCAAATTACTGAGATCAAAAAACATATTTATTTATAATTTAGATCCTTCTTGGAATGGCTGATAAATATTTTGCACAAAAAAGTAAGTTTTTATCGGTTTTGTAAATCAAGATTATGAACATTAAAAGGCAAAGCTCATCCCTTTAAAGGGCACGGTGCCACATTTTAGCCTACTTACAGTGTTTGTTTAATATTACACAGGCTTCCATCAGAGTACTTTGTAAACTGCTCTCTATTCTAAAAGATTTGATCATTACTCATATG